TTTTTTTTTTTTTTTTTGACACGGTCATGGTCAACACAACCTTTTTTACGTATCACCTAGAAAGAAATTGCTCTTCTTGTACATAAGAAAAGTAGGTATTAGTTTGACAATATGAGGCAGTTAAAAAATCATTAAATTCTTCTAAGAAATCTTCATTTTTTATTTTTTTTTTACTTTACATCTAAGTTAATTTGCTCATGATTGATTTGTTTATCTATTTACTTTAATTCAATTAATTTTTATTTCATATCCCACGTTTTCACTTCCATTACATAACTATTTTTTTCGCATTTTCATATCAATATAAATGTACGTTAATCCAACGTTAAAAAACTCGATCGGGTCAATTTATGGGACCGACTATAACTCGGTCGGGTCGATTTATGGGACCGACTATTTTTTTTTTTTTTTTTTTGGTAGGAATAAAAGGAATAAATGAACCAAACATTATCTCAAACGTCAAATTCGAAATCAAAAGAATGGGTTTGTACACATTAAACAAATCGTGATCTCAGTGACCACGACTTTGTAAACAAGATTCTTTGGCAGTTGTCACCTAACCAAAGAAAGTAAACGTGTATGAGGTGATTTCATTCATACGTGATACTTCCATACATAAATATATATATTATATATAAATATTATATCTAAGATAACTTTTTTTTTCCAATTTTATATCCACTTTGTTGACTTTGTCAACTGAAATTTTTAAAGAAAAGTATAATTTATTAAGTTATTTTTCTTTTTAATTAATGGATAATGTTACGGTCCCGTTACGAAACTATTCCGTCGGGATTTATAACTGTTAGATCATCATATAATTGTCGGGATAATTGATCTAACGGTGAATAGTTCTATAAAAAATCCATTTTTAACTAGTGGATTGCAGCTCTAATGATTATGCTACGAGCCTACGACAAAATCATCTCAATTGAAACCTGGTTAAAAAAAAAAAAAAAAAAACCTCGTATAATTTGAATATCAGAATTAATTACAATTATTATTCTTGTCGGCCTGCAATCAACATGTCCAATTTTATTTGGAGGGGTCTCGTGATAATTAATGATGCCTAAATAATAATAATAATAATAATAATAATAATAATAATAATAATAATAATTTAATAATAATAATAATAATAATAATAATAATAATAATAATAAAAAAGGCTTACTTCGAAAGAGTTGATTTTCCAAGCTGCCTCTAGGCATGTATTCATACACCAAAAGCCTATGTTCTTCTTCACAACAGTACCCAATCAGCTTAACCAAATGCGCGTGTCTTAGTTGACCCAGAAAAATCACCTCTGTCTGCAAAATTAACCAAATTTACATAAATCTATAAAAATTTCGTGTATATACAATTTCAAAATTATTATTATAACACGTACGTACCAGCCACTCTTTGTGACCCTGTGAGCCATCAAGATCGAGGAGCTTGACCGCCACGGGCTGGGCCTTCAACCCGGGCCTAAACCGATCGTCGATGAAGCCCTTGTGGACCGGCCCAAACCCGCCCTCCCCCAAGAAATTGCTCGGCGAGAAGTTTTGAGTGATGACCTTCAGCTCCTGAAGCGTGAAGACATGCAGATTCGAGCCCGCCAAGGAAATCGAGAGGTCCTCCGAGAGAGTCGAGCTGCTGAAGTCCGTCAACGAGAGCCTGTTGAACGACGATTGTTTCGAAACGGGCTTCTTCTGGGTGTTTGTCGGGCTCGGTTTTTCGGACTTGAAGCAGCCCGGGAAAACGTAGTCGTGCCATTTCATCTTCTTCTTGACCGCCATAATTATTTAGAGAATGTTTCGTGGTTGTTGAGGAGAATGTGTAATGGAGAAAAAAAAAAATTTGAGGAGATGGAAATATTCTTATGGTCCCAACTGCTCTCTACGCATGGAAATAGAGGGTTTGGAGGTTCTTTTATATATAAGACTTGGTGAAAAAATAAATAAATAAATAAATAAATAAATAAATAAATAGGTGATCTCATATTTGGATTACTTAATTAATTGGAAATGAAAAGACATCGTAATGTATTTGTATACCTACCTAACACATATGTATTGACATTTTGATGTATTTTTGTGATAAATAATATACGGAAAGAATATTTTGAATAAGCTTTAATTCAACTCATTTGGGGGGAGTACATTTCAAGTGAAACTTCAAGGAAGTGCTACGGTTTCGTTACGAAACCATTTCGCTGGTGTTTGTAACTGTTAGATTAACTATATATGAAGGTTACATGATGGTCTAACAAATACAAACCCCGACGAAATGATTTCACAACGGACTGTAGCATTTCGCAGATCTCATTGTCAATATTTGGTAATTTTAGTTGTGGGGGGTTAATTTCGAATAGACTTCTACATGCATGGTTCATCAATATTTTCCCATATGATGACCAATTTATGGAGAATTTATAAGGGCTTAATTACTTGTTTATAAGTTTTTATTTTTGTTTTGAATTTTTTTTGTTAACTATAAGTTAATTTTGAAAAATGGGTTGGATTAACCGGTAGTTGAATTTTGAGTTTGTATTAAAATAATATGTAAAGTAAGTAAAATCGATTTGATTTAAAAGTAGAAGAGATATGATTGGAAGTAATGAATAATTAAAATTACGTGAGTTGATGAATATTTAATTAAAATTGATGTGATGTGTAAGGATGAGTTATTGATATTCTTTAATTATATTAATAATATTGAGATAGTGAGATTTAAATTAAAATTGAGTTAATTTGAATTAAGATTGAATTTTTTCGAAAAAAAAAAATGGTATCGGAGCATGCACTAAGATTATTTTATAAGTGTTCGAGTTTGAGCGAGCTCGAGTCGGCTACTTTCAACTAGAACTAAAGCACTTCTAAACATCTTGCTAAGCTATTGCAAGAGACATTAAAAATTTGCACTAATATTTTTATGATATAATAATAATTGGAAAATACAATTATTTTATTATTGTCTTGCAAATTGATTGGAAAATAATTATTTTATTATTGTCTTGCAAATTGATCATCATTTCTACCTACGCACGCACATATAACGTGTGGAAGCTAAATAAACACAACACGGGCTAATAAGAATAATATTAATAAGTTCTCAAAAAAAAAAAAGAATAATATTAATAAAAATCGTAGTCAACACGAATTTGGCTGAATTGAAAAAGACTATGCTACCCCCGTTTGACTTTCTTAAGGAGGCTTGCCAAACTGCTGTTCACCACCATTACCACTAGCTTGATAAACCGGTTTTCGAAGCCATTTACAATTTAACATTAAAATAATAATAATAATAACTATTACAACACCAGTGTATTACACGAGTGCTTGTTAAAAAATTATTCTTAAATCTTAAAATTAATGAGAAAACTATATTAAATTTAGTTTACTTTTTTACAAAAAAATAAATTACTATATATTTTAGAATGATATGTGTTGCGAAGCTCTACCGAAAACCCTTAGCCCCAAATTCCTTCGCCTTCGTCTCCTTCAATTCGCATCTGTAGGCCTTCCATAGTAGCCATCGAGCTTCGCCGGCGGTTCCCGGCCCTTGGTTGTTTGGTTTTCGCCCCCAATTTTCCGCTCTTCTTCCGCGTTCAATGGAGCCGAGCTTCGCCTCTTGCGACTGGTCGTTGCTATTTCCAGCGTCGACGCGTCAATTCCGAGCGGTGGCTTCTCTGTTGGGTGGCGGTGGAGCCGTAGCGCTGTTCTCGGGGCGGGACGCGTCTCAATTGCTCGGCTTCTTTCTTGGTCAGGTGATTGGGGCGTCGTTGATGTTCGAGGTCGTCTTCCCCTGTTCTCGGCGTCGAGTTGCAGGGGTCGTCGTGTTCCTTCTTTTGCCAGTGGTGTTGGCTGGAGTAGCGATGCTACGGTGCGGTGGCCTTGGTCAAATTCCAAGCGGTTCAGGGTTGGGTGTTGCGGCTGCGGCACCCTTTTGCCCGTCCGGGGCATTCTGGTGTGGTGGTCGTGGAGTGGAGTGGCTTGGTGCTATTCCGGGGTTAGAGTTTCGGCTCCGTTAGGCAACCGAGGGGTTTGGGCAGTTTCGGGGTCGGCTCTTCTGGCTGCGGGATTCTCAGTTGCTTCGTTTCCGCTGGTTCGGTTTGATGTAGCTTTTTTGGAAGGGCATGTTTATTTTGTTGATGTTGTTTTCTTTGTTTGGTAGTTTCGTGTTTCTTTTTTTTTTTTTGTTTTGTCTATTTGTTTCGTTAGGTCTCATGTTTTTGGTTTGGGTCGTTGGCCTCAGTGATGATTCTCCTGTTGGGAGCTTCGTAGTTATTTTGGTAGTTTTTATTTGTGTTTTGTTTAGGGATTCTGCGTTGCTAGTATCGGATTTAGGCGGTCTTCGGACCAGTCCTCCCAGTTTATTCAGCTTTTGGCTGCGACTCTAAGTTGTAATTTGCACATTTGTACGTTTTGATCTATAAAATTCTCTGTCGTTTCGGGGAAAAAAAAAAAAGAATGATATGTCTTACTTATGACTTACATGTGTTATATTATATTAGTTTTTATAACTTATATCATATAACTACTTGAAATATAAATATATTAGTTGATAAATAATTTTATTTTCTAATTAATATTAAAAATAATATTATTATTGTTATAAAGATAAATATAAATTATTTTTTTGGTAATCCGAAAAAATTTACCCAAGCCTAATAACGAAGCATGACCATAAAAAATACAAAAATTATTAACTTTGAAAATATATATACAATTTAATAGTTATAATAAGGAATAATATTAAAATACAATTAATACATGTAACATGACCATAAATAATCAACATATTTATGGTAATCCGAACTTAATTATTTTTGGTTTGGAATTAAATTAAAATTTATCCAAGCCTAATAACGAAACATGTAATTTTGCCACATTGAATTCCGAAGCACCAGAAGCAGTCTCAAGCTCAATGTATTATATTATATTAGTTTTTATAACTTATATCATATAACTACTTGAAATATAAATATATTAGTTGATAAATAATTTTATTTTCTAATTAATATTAAAAATAATTTTATTATTGTTATAAAGATAAATATAAATTATTTTTTTTATACATACAATATGGATGTTAAATCGAAGCTCATCAAAAAATGATTAATTTGATATATTACATATGTAAAACTGATAAAAAATACAAAAGTTATTAACTTTGAAAATATATATACAATTTAATAGTTATAATAAGGAATAATATTAAAATACAATTAATACATGTAACATGACCATAAATAATCAACATATTTATGGTAATCCGAACCTAATTATTTTTGGTTTGGAATTAAATTAAAATTACCCAAGCCTAATAACGAAGCATGTAATTTTGCCACATAGAATTCCGAAGCATCAGAAGCAGCCACGTAGGCTCAGCGCGTTCTGTATTAATATATAGGGGGATAATAATAGTAATGTTACAGTGTGATGGCATAATTGCATAATAGGGAATGTAAAGGGGGAGTCAAAAAAGCTTCTTGCACCTTGAACCGGTTCTCCCTCTCAGAGACCTGCAAAGACGCCAGGAGGTGTTTCCGACGGTAAACCTCCGACGCTCAAGTCAGTAAAGAATAGAAGAAAACTGTATGTAATCGTAAGTAGTATTAGAGTTTCTAAAATATGATTGACCTTTCATTTTTCCCCCATTTATCTATTTATATGGAATTATTAGCTTCTCCTCTACGCTTCATTCCTCGTCTGTCAGATCATTTGCTCACCTCTTAATCCTGACCTTACAAGTGTCCAGTATAGATCTCCTTCCATAACTGTCACTATAGCCCGACTCTCAATCCATTATCCGTAATGCCGAGCTATTGCTGGACCGAGCCCAATGTAAGGCCGAGCTACTAATATAGCTATAAGGCCGAGCTACTTGGTGAGTTTGCTGGACCGAGCTATCCGTAATGTCGAGCTATCGCTGGGCCGAGCCCATATAATGCCGAGCTACACCGGCCGGTTTTACCAAACCACTCCTATGTGCCATATCACAGTGGAAATTTATTATGTTCAAAAATTTTAAAATTATATTTTTTTTGTCGTGACATAAGTTTTGCTACGCGGGGCGGGATTTGATGCTTCTACACAGTTATGCGTCAACGGTCCACCCTCAGAAAAATGGACAACACAATAAAATAAATGTATAAATAAAGTTATTTGTGCTCCACACCTCATCAGTCATTAGTCAACACATTTTTTGAACAAATAGTAAAGATCTTGTGCTAAATGACATTAAAATTGTATTTAAAAATAATTTGTGGGGTACAAAAAATTATAGTTTCTTATATGAATCAAATTCTATCAAAACATATATATTTCTAATATATCATTGCATCTCAACATTTTATAAACTATAATTACATGAAAATATCTAAATACTCATTGCTTAATACAACAAAAAAATATAATAATAGATATGATTTTGATGTATTAATAAAGGTAATACGTACACAAGGCAATAACTTGAAAAACAAAAACAAAATTGCAAAATAATCTGTATATTATATAAATATATGTTATTAAATTCAAAATAATATATAAGTGTGTAATATGATATTTTTTGCTCTGACACTCATATTGTATAAATAAATGAAAATAATATATATTCATATAAAAATAAATTAATTCATAAATTCCGAAAATATATAAATAAAATAAAGATAACCATTTACCAAAAATAGTAGTAAAAAATTTTAGGAGTATTTAATACGTACTTTTTTTTTTTGGAAATTGTTTGAATATATGCATTAATTGTTTCTATATACACTTTTTCAAATAAAAATCAA